GAGGTTGTTGGTGCTGCCGCCGCCGCCAGGCTACTCAGACAATAGAGATAGGCAAGAGGAGGAGGGGAGCGGAGCACATCGGCTCAGCTCCGGCGCGGGTGCCGGCTGCGTCCTAGAACTCCCCCGTCGACCGCCGAGGCGCCCCGGCGGGGACGGGGCAGCGGCTTGGGGAGAAACTGATCGCGATCGGAGCCAGGCGGGGCCGCGGCGCCGGTGGCAGGAAAGGAGGGAGAGAGTAGAAGAGGAAACAGGAGGTGACTGGGGGCGGAGAAAACTGAGGAAATCTGGAGCGAGCGAACGAGCGAGCGATACGAAGTTCTTCACACGTTTTTTATCATCGCATAGAACTCTGCTTACAACCTTACAACAGCGTGTTCATCTATTTAAATCGATTATCATAACAAGAAACCAGCAATGCCGATACAGATTTATGAATTATACATTCGCAGTAGTAGCTCTAAGATGTCCCGAAGGAACGAATAAGACCTTTCCAAACACACACCCCATCTGTCCAAATATTAATAATTCTACAGTCTGAGGTAGGCAACAATAACAGGTGGTGTGACTTTGGGTTCCCAGGCATGGCTAATTGGTTGAGAGACAGGAATATGGACCCCCCTTTTCTTGGGCAGGGAATATTTCAGGGAGTACCAGGGAAATGGTTTTGCAGAGCAGAGGGTGAATAGGTCTATGCTTTGGTTCAGTTCTTACCTTTATCTAGTCTTAATGCAAGTTGTTTGTTTCCATTCACAACATTTTTAAAACATTTCCTGTCTTTAATCTAGGAGCTCAGGGAAACTTTCCCACAACAAGGTAAGTTGGGCTGAGAGGATGACTGGCCCAGAGAGCCACCCAGGGTGTTTCTGTGGCTTCAACCTGAGTCCTGATGGTCCCAGTCAATGCCTTCACCACCTCATCACAGGCTTTCTTTGATATTACACCAAATAATGATCAAGAATCTATACTCCAGTTCATCATGGCTAAATGTCTAAAGTTTCTTATCTCACTGAAGTGAGGCACATTATTGCCCAGTTAAATTGGGGGGGGGGGAATGGCTGAGATTAAGAAGCAGGACTGCCAAGCGAGTTGTTCCCATGCAAATTTGCCCTTTTGTTCTTAAATAGAAAGTAAACAAAAAACAACAACCAAACATTGAAAATCATATGTTTCCCAAAGCAATCCAGTAAATCTATTACATGTAACTTAGGGCATGCATTCATGTTTTTCATCATGGCAAAAAAAGCCCCATTACACTACATTCCAGTTTTGGGTTCCAGCTAACAAGCTAGATTCTCCTCTAAAATATTCCATTTTATTCCACCCAGTCAATTGCCAATTAGTACTATGGAGCCACTCAGTCATACCATTTTACCATACCTCTTCTCCTCTTTTAGTTCTTTGCCCTGAACACCTTTCATATTTCTTCACATTGGAGAAACTGGCTTCCTCCCAATCTTTGGGCACTTCCACATTGCTACTGTGTCTGTTCTTTAATACTCAGTGTAGTTTGAAGTCAACCTGTAATCCTTCTCCTTTCCACTGGCCTCAAAATGTTGAGAGAGCACAAAAAAACTTCATTCAGATAGAACTTGCCCAAAGGTACCACTAGTGCTGGATAAAATGTAGCCCCTCTGCCCCATTCCACATAAAAGCAGAAATTCTTCATGGTGTATGTATCTATCTGATTGTGTGCAAAAAAATCTCAGGAATTGCAATGAAAGGGAGCTTCAAAGTTGTCAAGGCACCTTTCCCCTTAAAAGTCCTGTGAAATAATAGTACATGAGTGAAATACAGATCCAAGAGGCAGGGTGAAGCATGAATTCACACCAGTGAAACAACAAACTATCCACAAGATATACAGAACTCTAGCATTGGAAAAGAGATTAAAAATGGAGTGGGGAAAACTGCCTCATACTAAGCCAACATCAGGAGATTGCTGTTTCTGAATGGTTGCAATGGCTCCAAATGGTACTGCCATCTGCCAGGGCTGTCCACAGGGTTTGGCCCAGAAAGCCAAGAGGGTGGCCATGACAGCGTAATCAGATCTCCAACTGTCTTATATGTGAATTGTGTGTGCAACGCAAATAAAAAATCTTGGATCGCACTATTGTGACCTCCACCTTGATTTTTTTTACCATACCCTGTGGACACCCCTGCATTCTGTCCAGTGTAGGAGTAGTGCTGTGAAAATGTTTGGTATTATACAGGAATTTATTTGCTATGGTATCCTTGGCTGTTAGAGTTCTACAGTATTAGCCATAGTAGTATAATTGGAGTCTCCTTGCTCGGAGTTGGTAGTATACTGATTGCAAGATAAAGCAAACAGGAATGTTTTTCTCTAGCACTGCCTGCTTGTAAGCATCCTCAGAGCAAGAGACTGATCGGTGTGGAAACAAGATCAACCTTTGCTTTGCTACTAGTAGGAAAATGTTCACATTTTTGCAGCCCCACATTCAGTGAGGTTTGTAAAATTCTGCTCCTATCACTGGAAATTATTTATTACTGTTTATCACTGTTATTATGTATTTATTATTAGATTTTGATCCTGCCTTTATTTTTAGTCAACTCAAGGCAGTATATGTAGTGCTCCTGCCTCCTATTTTCCCCACAACAACAACCCTGTGAGGTGGGATGGGCTGAGAGAGAGTGACTGGCCCAAAGTCACCCAGCCAGCTTTCATGCCTAAGGTGGGACTAGAACTCAGAGTCTCCTGGTTTCTAGCCCAGCACCTTCGCCACTACACCAAACTGGTTCTCCAAGAAGCTCTTGCCCCAGCTGAAAAGAAACCAACTCTACCTCTTACCTTCCAGAAAAGCAAGTGAGTACCAGACAGGTAAGTGGGACAGTCATGTGAGAGATGGGTACAGGTGACTTTGCTACCTCAGCCATCATCCCACCGTATTTCAGGGCTTCTGGCAAGAACTAGCAGCTTAATTAAGCTATGAGCAACCCTAAGCTCACCAATTCCTTCAGACTGAGGAATGGCATCCCATTCTGAAGGAAAAGAAGAGGAATTACTCAACCCTTCCTCCCTCCCCATCTATCCTCACAACTGTTTCAAAAGCTGTTTTGAAGAAAAGTCCACTTCAACCATTACATGCTTGCTATTTTATGTTGCTCTTAAAATAGGGAAACCTGTACACACACACACACACAC